GCCCCAGGGAGTTCCAGGCCTGCTAAGGAGCCATTTGTACGGCGGCCGTTCATGAACCCTGAGCGGAGGATTAATTACTGTCTGTCGAAAGGAGACTTCTCTCGTCCTTTCAGATGCATCTTCTTTTTATTCTTAGTTAATTTTTAAAATTACGACGTCAGTGCGAAGTCTGATTTATTTCACTTTTAGCATTATTCCTCTGATACGCGATTTCACTGTATGCCAGGCACCCTCCTCGGCGCCAATTTGTCACATCAACTCCCATTTGAGGGGCTGGTCAGATGAGCTGCTCGCCTTCCTGGGCCTCAGTCTCCCTGCTGGGGATGGGAATCCCAGTGACCCCCTCCGGATGTCCCCCCTCCCCCCGGCCCAGGCCTCGCTGTCTGCGGTCCCATGAGCTTATCCCTCCCTATGGCCTCAGTTTCACATATTGGGTCCCTGGGTCGGGCCTCCTGCCCACCTGCCCGCTCACCTGACAGCAGCCCCGTGGAAGGCCTGTGCCACCTGGGAAGAGTGACTCACCAGTCCTGTTACCCCAGGCAACCAATTGTCGCGCTGAGCAGCTGAGCTGGAATCAGCTCACGTCGGTCCCCTGCGACGCTGTAGCTACTTAAGGTCCATATGTCCGTGTCCCCAGTGCCCAGCGCAGGGCCTGGCACAGGGAGCAGCATCCCTCCAGGGGTGGTCATCGAGGACCAGGCACCATCTTAGACGAGCAGAACACATGGGGGCCCTGCCCACATGAATTTACAGCCTAGGAAGGAAAAGCAGACAAAATGGACAGTAAGCAGGACACATATGAAAAGTATCCGACATGCAGCCCGCTGAGTGGAATCAGAGCCCAGGGGGCAGGCTGTCCCTTTAAATGCGGTCAGTGTAGGCCTCACCGAGAAGTGGCTTCTGAACAAAATCTCCGAGGAGGGGCTGGGGGAGCCCAGGGAGGCCTGGAGGAAGGCATTCAGGCAGACCAAGCACCCAGGCTCTGAGGGGAGCCCTCTGGGCCACTCAGGCTTACTCAACGGGGCAAGGTGGCCTGGCTGGAGGGACAGGGGCACAGGCAGGGGACCCCGTGGGAGGCTGGGTTAGGAGGCCTGAGAAGTGCCTGTGGAACTCATTGCATCGTGATTTCAGCAGGTCCTGAGAGTCTAGGTGGCAAGAACTACATAAATAATTGGAAAGGGGGAACCAAAATGACATGTTACAGCCCTGTGGTAACCAGGGGATAACTGGGTGAGGGAACCCAGGGACCACGGCCACATGGGCTGGCCACGCGGGGAGCATGGGTACAGCCCGGAGGCTGTGTGTGCTTCCTGGGGCTGCAGTAACAACATCCCATAAACTGGGGGCTTTAAACAACGGAAGTGGATTCTCTCACCTTTCCGGAGGCTAGACGTCCAAAATCAAGGTGCCATGAGGCCGAGATGCGCCTGGGACTCTGGGTTGAATCCCTCCTCACCTCTCCTAGCTTCTAGTGGTGGCCAGCAACCTCCGCCCTCCTCAGCCTGCAGCTGCCTTGCTCTCGCCCCTCTGTCTGTGGTCACATGGCCATCTCTCCCAGTCCACCTGCTGTTCTCCCCAGGCCTCTCTCTTTCTATATCAGTGGTTCTCAACCTTGGCTGGACATTAGAATTACTAATGTTGTGGCCCCACCCCATAACAAAGAAACAGAATTTCCGGAGGATGAGGCCCAGAGATCAGGATTTTAAAAAGATTCCCAGGTGATTCTAATGTGCAGCCAAGGTTGAGAACCACTGTTCTAAGGGCCCACCCTATCCTGCATGACCTCATCTTAACTAGTTACACCTGCAATGACTCTATTTCTGAGATGTGAGGTATGAGGGCTGCAACGTATCTTTTTTTGCAGATGGGAACACAGTTCAATCCACACGAGAGGCCTGACCTCCCGGAGGCCTGACCACCCGCTGTGGGACCCTGGGTGTGCCCCAGGCTGGGCCTCCGTAAAGCGAGGGGGTTGGCGGGTCATTCCCGGGCGGCCCTGGCGTGTCTCCAAGTCCTTCGAAGCCTCTCCAATCTCCGGCACAGCAGCATGGAGACAGGAGCTCAGCTGATTCCAAACTGTGTCTTCACCATGAAACAAATATTTTGAAAAGCCTTTTGATGTCACTTGAACAGAGTGAGGAAAACACTGTTCAACCCCCTGCATTTTTTAAATTTCATCCCCTTTGCTATTTTTCCTCTCCTTGAAAGCTTGTGTTTGCTTTCATGTTACACGTTATTTATTTAGTTGCTTGTCAATTAGTGTCTATTCTCCAAGAAACAAGCACATTAGCAGCTGCAGAGATTGGAATTAAAATCTGCAGCCCAGTGGGTGTTACCGAAGGCTTGCCTCCCCGGCTGAGAAAACAGCACCTCGTTGTCATTTCAAAGGCTGACCTTCCTCTCCCTTCCTCCTGATCCTGGCTCCTGACTTCATTCCCAGGGACTCCCCCAGGGTCACGGCTGCACGGGGCAAGATGCTTTAAGATGAGGCTTTTCCAAACGCACAGAGGAGACGCAGGTCCTGCTAACAGCAGCCTTTGATGACTGTTCGTGTAAAACAGGAGGGCTGGATTTGAATAGCACGCTTGAAATTGCCAGTCCGGGGGTCTGGGGGCTCTGACCCAGCCAGTCCAACCCACCACAGCTCCATCCTGCAGCTCAGCAGATATTTAACGAGGTGACACCAATTGGTGGAAACAAAGGATCCGGCTCCAGTCCCGGCACCTCAATTTACTGGGAATGCGACCCTGAGCAAGTGAGTTAACCTCAAGGATGCATTTCCTGGTCTGTGAAGTGGGAGAATTAAAACCACTGCATAGGCAAGTTGTGAAGCTGAGATTGCAGGTGTAGAACTTGGCAAGGTAAGCTTCAGCGTCTGACTCTTAACACAAACACAGTCCCTGCCTGTGGGCTCGCTGCTGGAATCCTGGGGCCTGAGCGTGGCCCTCCCAGGGGTCCCTCTTCAGTGAGAAGCAAGGACAAGAGCCTGCTGGAGTCCTGGCTCCCACCTACCCGCAGTGTGGCCTCGGGCAGTTCTCCTTCCTCTCTGACAGTTTCTTTGAGCACAAAATACAAGGAGTGAAGCTTAATTCACAGGAAGTTGCTGGGAGATTTAGCAGTGAGAGAATCTACTCAAAACACGGTGAAAATGGAGGCTCGGGCAACAAGGGTGATGAAGATAATGACATTCTGAGGCCAAGACAGATTTTGTTACCTAACACACAGCAGGCAGGACACCAGGGGGCTCCCTCTTTTCTCAGCATTCACCCTGGGCGGTCACATCCTGGCCCTGTGGGAAACCACAGGGCTGGACTGGGGGCAGGAGGCAGCCATTCCTCACCTGGATGTGCCCGGCCTCCTGGCACGGGAACCAGAGTGATGCTGCAAAAGCCCAGGTCAGAGCACACCTGCTCCAGACCCTCCGGGCTCCGCCCGCTCACAAAGTCACACCAACCCTCCCAGGGCCCACCAGGCGCACACAGGCCCTGTGGTCATCCAAGCTCATCTCCCAACGCTCACCCCCAAGCACCCCGACCTGCTCTCTGCTCCTCGGGCACCCGGGCTCCCTCCTGACTCCGGTATTTACTGATCCAGCAGCTGTCCCCTCAGCCTGGGACACTCCTGCCACCTTCCCCTGCACTGCTCTCCTGTCCTCTTGGCTGTACCATGTTCACCCGCCAACAGAGGGGGTTGTTGCTTCTCTACTATGTCCTCTCAGGGCTGAAACGTAAGCAGAGTCTGGTTTGTTCACTGCTGTGTCCCCAGGGCCCAGAACAGTGCCCAGCACGTGTTGGCTCTAAGCATGTGTGGATGCAGGTTAGGAGGCTGAGCGGGCAGGCCAGCGAGGTGCAGGCGGGAGGAAGCTATTTTAGCTCCCACTGTGCAGCAGGTCCCCAGGGGGTTCCTAAGCCTGGCACAGACCCACGCCCCCGCCTGGAGGGGGGACCTCCCACCTCGATGAACAACACTCCCAGAGACCATGGCAGCCAGGGTGGGGAAGGGAAAATTCCACATGACCGAGGGGACAACTTGGGATCTGATCTTGGGCCAGCACTTTCTCATCTGGATGATGAAGAACTTGGGCCACTGGTTTTCAATGGGGGGTTGTCCCTTAGAGTCCCAGTGTCTGGGGGAGCTCGGCGTGGGGATGGAGGGGCCGCCTGTCAGCTCCACGCAGACCTGGCCCTCTGGTCTGTGTATGTGGTTCCATGTGAGATTCTTTGTAAGGAAAGGGTTCCAATTCCCAAAAGTGTTTGGGGACCACAGGCAAATGGTGGCTGGGACTGGGAAGAGACCAGTGGTGCCAGTTCTGGACCTTGGGCAGATGCCTTATCCCTCAAGGCTTCCCTTTCCCCATCTGTGGAATGTGGGGTTGGACCGAATGACCCCAAAATGCTCCCCAACCCTGAAGCTCGGTACTCTGGTTTCACGCCGGTAGACACATGAAGGGGAAGCGTGGGAACCGGATGAAGACAGGGAGACGGTGTCTGCAGACGGACAATTATCATCACACAATATAACACTCTAATGGCAGAATCTTTTATATGAGAATAGACATTATGGAGCACAGTTCCATCAAATGAATATAACAGACTTGTTTTATATTACAACGCACACTATAATTACACATTTCAATAATTCTTTCAGTGCATTACACAGAGGCGTTCTGAAGAAATGGAGTCCTGTGGCCATCTATAACAACTCGCCTCAGGGAGGATGCCGCGGGTGCCAGAGGCCTCCCAGCCTGCAGGGAGAGCCGTGGCCTCCTCCTGCCCACGGTCACATGGCTTCTGACCCTGGCCTCTGAGGGTCACCACAGTACTTTGTTCAAGTACCTGCCCATCTCCACCTGCACTTTGCAGCCACGCCTCCGGGACGGGGAGCTCACTACCTCCCTGGCTGTCTATTTGACGGGCCTTGTCATTAAGAAATCACTCTAGGCAGGTCTCCTACCTGGAGCTAGTGCGCAGACCGCGTCGAGCCGAGCCCAGCTGCTCAGGATGATTAGCGACGTGCAGTTCGCCATCTTCAACAACATGCTAGGCCTGTCTCTCTTCCTGCTTGTCCTTCTCTATCACCATGTGGCCATCAACAATCCCAGGAAGTAGGAATGAAAGTGGCGGTTTCTTCGCCCCAGGGTCCCAGGACATAGTGTGAGGCAAGATGGAGAGTGTGAGAGGCCCTCACACTTCACTTCATCCCTTCTACTCTCACAGCATATAGAGCAATTGCACCTGGATTTTCCCAAACAACTTTTATTTCTTCAAAGTCTTCCTTAACCTATGGAACAAGAAGCTGCCACAGAGGGGGGCCCAGTATAGGGGTTGCTTTCTTCTCTACTCCATCCCCCCGATATAAGAATATAGATTTTTTTTTTAAAAGAAATTACTGGGCATTAGCACAAGCCCATGGCATCCATCTCTAAATTCATATGATCAGCTCTACAGTGACTATGTTAGGCATTGCAGTGTATTTCTATTGCTGCTATAACAAGCCCCAAACTTGGTGGCTTAAAGCAGCACAATGTATTCTCTTACGGCTGTAGAGGTCGGAATTCTGACAAGGGTCTCCCAGAACTCAGTGTTGGCAGGACTGAGTTCTTTCTGGAGTTTCCAGGGGAGAATCTGCCTGCTCGCCCTTTCCAGCTCCCCAGGTCCCCTGCATCCCGTGACTCGTGGCCCCTTCCTCCAGCGTCAAAGCCAGCCCCTCTACCCCTCTTCCTGCTGCCACGTCTGCCTCTGACAGCAGCTGGAAAAGATCCTCCTCCTTTAAGGACTCGTGTGATTAGAGTGAGCGCACCCGCAGCATCTCATCCCAGTCTGTAACATGGACACTTGTAACCTTCCCTTTGCCATGTTAGGTAAATAGTCACGATTCCAGAGACTAGAGAACGGACATGTCCTGGGGACACTGCTCCACCTGCCACGGGCATTATTTTATTGCAACACCAAGCAGACTGAATTTATTCCTCCTCGGCTATTGAAAGGGCAGAACAGCAGGATTAAATGTGACATAGGTATAGTGCCTGCCATATACATGTTTGATAAATGGAAAACCAATTTGATGACCAGGGTGACAGTATCAATGATATAATCCACTTTGCCAATGTCCATCCTGTTGCCTGGTACAGGACATGATCACAGACTCTCAGTGCAGGATGGTGAGTCACAGACAGAGCACGACTCCTCACCGCTCAGTTGGGCTCTATACCTCTATGGATGCAGCTAACTAACGTAGTATTAGCATTTGAGGTCCCTTCTTCTTTGGTCTCAGCAAACTTGCCTGCTTGTAGTCAATTAAAACCCTAAGTCTGTCTCCAGTTACAAGGGGGCAAAGAGACTGTGCCCATTTTATAGTGGGAGAAAGTGAGGCTGAAAGGATGGAGGCCCTGGGGTGGTTCCGGAGATGAGATCAAGGATGAGTGGAGTGAGTCAAGTTGGGGGTGTGGGAGACAAGTATTTCAGAGCAGGAGACACGTGTGCTAACCTGGAGTTGCAGAATAGGAGGTGATTTCAGGAACTATAAGGAGTGTGGCAAGACTCATGGGTGGGGGTGGGGTATCACAGTGATGAGCCCAGAGAGATGGGAGAAAAGCCAGGTCAGGCAGGGAGGACCACACGCTGTTCTGTTTGGAAGAAGGAGCATTAATACAAACAAAGGATCTTTTTAACCCCGAAAACCTGTAATTAAGTTCTCATGTTAATGCCTGTTAAGAATGACATGATTACGTATTTGTGTGGGAAGGTGGTTGGTAACCACTGAAACTTTAACTTCATCATCAAGCAGGTAAGGGGCTCACCGTGCCCAGTGCTGCCCTCCGGGGCCAGGCAGGGGCCCAAGGAAGAGGATGGGGTCAAATCCACAGAGCTAAAGGGTCCTGGGAGACAGAGACCTGAGAGGAGTCAGTTAGAGGCAGCTCCAGCTGTTTGTCTCTTATGGACGATGGAGAGGCTGATGCCTCGAGAGTGGCAGAGACTGGCCAAGCCAGGGACAGGCCTGGGCTTTGGATCTGGTGGCGGAAAGCTTGGGCAGGCTGCCAGTAGAAGCGGCACTGGAGCGCAGGCTGCGTCCCAGCCCTGAGCTCGCTCGGCACTCACCATCTCGAACTGTGGAACTGTGCTCGCCGAAGCACTGGGATGGGCCTGGGCTCTGCAGCTGCCAACAGCTTCTGCTTGAATCAGGCTCCACGCCCCACTGGCCCGATCTTGGGCAGTTTACTCTGCACCCCAGTCTCCCATCTGAAAAGAGCATCTCCCCCACAGGGCTGTCAGGTGATTGCACGTGATGTTACAGAGTGCTGGCTCAGAAACAAGTCTTCCCTATTGGAGTTACTACCTGTGCTCCCCTTCTCCCCCCACCCCTCCCCAGTGTGATTTCTTCCAGAAGGAGGTGAGAGCAGCTCAAGAATGTTTGGTGAGTAGCTAAGATCTGGAAACAGCCTAAGTGCCCATCAGTAGATGAATGGATTAGAAAACTGTGGTACATCTACACGATGGAATACTATGCTGCTCTAAAAAGGAAGGAACTCTTACCATTTGCAACGTCATGGATGGAACTGGAGAGCATTATGCTAAGTGAAATAAGCCAGTCAATGAAGGAAAAATACCACATGATCTCACTCATTCATGGATAATAGAGACCATTATAAACTTTTGAACAATAATAGATACAGAGGCAGAGCTGCCTCAAACAGATTGCCAAACTGCAGCAGGAAGGCCGGGGAGGGTTGCGGGGCAGGAGGTAGGGGGGTAAGAGATCAACTAAAGGACTTGTATGCATGCATAGAAGCATAACCAGTGGACATAAGACATTGGGGGATAGGGGAGGCTAGGGGACTGTCTAGGGCGGGGGGATAAAATGGACACATATGTAATACCCTTTGTAATACTTTAAGCAATAAAAAAAAAAAATGGAAAAAAAAAATAAATAAAATAAATAAATAAATTAAAAAAAAAAAAAAAAAAGAATGTTTGGTGAGTAAATGTATTTGCTGCTCTGAGGCTGACACCAGGGCTGGAGTGGTGAGCAAACCGCACCGGGCGTGTAGCCTCACAGACCTGCCAGCTAGTGATGGGAAGAGGCATAACCAAAGAAAGTCACACGGTGGCCAAGTGCCGGTGAGGACATCACTGTACAACAGGGGCTCCTGATTCAGAAGACTTCTCCAAGGCATAAACAGGAGCCAACTAACAAGAGAAGCAAGGGAGGCCGGAGAAGTGGATGGGAAGATGCAAGGCAGAGAAGCATGTGCAAAGGCCCTGTGGCCAGAAGGAAAGCCCTGAGGCTGGAGAGGGCAGGCCACTGGAGGAAACAAAGGAATGGGCAGAACTCAGCACACACCTGTATGTCAGCCTAAGTGCAATGGGAAGCAGTCAGCATTTAAACCAAAGAGATTACACGATCAGCTTTGCATTTTAAAGAATCACTCTAGCTGTGGTTTGGGGATACTGGAGTGGGTAGGGGTGGAAGTGGGGAGGCCAACTAGGAAGCCATTATAGCTAGTGGTTCAGGTGAGAGACCTGGACCAAGGTGGGGATGAAGATAAATGAAGCAATGGCCTTGGGAGACAAAGTGGATAGAACAGCCGCGACTGTGGCCGGGACAAAGAGGGTGAGGGAGAAAGAGGTGTCAGGGATGACTTCAGTGTAAGCTGCTGGCTGGAGGCAGAACCTTCACGGAGATAAATGAACAAGCAAACCTCAGGGATTTGGCCAATATTTGGGGTCAGAGTTAGCCATCTTTTTCTTTCCACATCATAATCTTGCAGAAGAAATGAGACTGGGTTCTACTAGGAGTCCCGGCGAGATCCCACGACTCTGGACCCGCCGAGGCCCACCCCACCTGACACCCGCAGAGTGAGTTGGGAAGGCCCCAGCTGTGGCAAGAGGCAAACACATCTGGCCCCGAAGGCAGAGTCCTGGGCTTCTCGGGAGACTGGATGAGTAATTCTGATAATTGAATTTTTGAGTTAGACTTAAAAAATGGCCAAGATTGAAGAAGCAATTTGGCAGGGTCAGGAGCCCCCAGGCAGATTTCTCTGCCTCCACGATGCTGAGAACTTATTAACAAGATCACTCTTCCTCCTTCCACAGCCCCCTTTACAAGCGGTCCTCAGGGCTGCGGGGCCGAGGAATTCAATTGTGGGTCTCTGGGCCCCTGCTCTGGTCACCCAGAGACATTGTTGAAAAGGGTAGTGAGGAGACTTTGGTTTGTAATATAGGGTAGGACTGCTGTTTGGGGAATAGAGAGCACTCGGGGAGACGGAATAACCCAGAGGACAGGACAACATAGAAAACAGGTCATGACAGACTCGGTTCAAATCCTGGCTCCAGCACTTACTCAGGCAGGGTGGGACTTATTTCCTGCCCAGGGCCATTTGGATATTTATAGCATCATTCGCAGGCCATACAAAATTATCAGCTTAAAAATTAGCCTGCTATATTTGGTCAAACATTTAATTATCTCACCCTTAATGCCTTGGCAGGGCCAGACCAAATGATTTCTGGGCCTTGTAAGGCCCGATGGCCAGACATCCCCTGCCCCTGTACTAAGGTGATTCCATCCGTTTTCTCATTTGTAAAATGAACAGGATGGTTCAAATTAACTAATGAGAGGATGCACAGTGTGGCTACTGCTAGGCAGGTGGGCGCCAGCCTGCAGGAGCAAGGATTTTACCCTTTGGACTGATGCCAGGGAAGTGGGCAAGTGGGCCAAGGTGGGCGCACAGGAGGCCTGTGTCTCCCCCCTCCTGTGTATTTGACTTTGCAGCTGCCCCTCTCAGGTGCAGGTGCAGCTCCAGTCCGAGGACATAGGTGGTGATTAATTTCACCAACGGGAAACTGATGCATTTTCAGATTACAGCTTCAGAGCCTCCTGAATTCAGCTGCTGGTGAAATTAACTCACCAGGGACAATGGAGCCTTTTCTAAAGTCCAAATTGTCCTTATTTGCGGAGTTGGCTCTTGGCCCCAATCCAGCCCAAACTGGGCTGCTCCTCCACATCCCAGAGGAAGGGCCTCCACTAGCCCAAGGTTGGGAATAGTTTGCACGATTCTAAGGCGGGGGGGGGGGGGGGGGGGGGTGGAGGGATGGGGATACACTTTGCCTTG